AATTATTAGCTCATCTGACATAGTCAGATGCCAGCTTGTAGAATCGCATGATCGCTCCGTCCGTGCGTCCATCCGTGCGTCCGTCAACAGTTAGGCACAAATTCTTAACGCTCGACGTACGTCACGATTTTCGGGACGTTGCGGCGCGGGCTAATCCGAAACGCAGTTTGTGGTCTCGAAGTGGGGTCAAAGGTCAAGGTCAAGAGGTGTTAAAATAAGGGCGAACACTCACGTCCTTAACTTGAAGTACTAGAACGAATGCAGACTTGCGGGGCCACAAAATCTAAACGGCTCGGACCTAGGCTGTGATAGTCGGGTGTATAGCCATTCATGCGTAGGAAAAGCCATGCACTGCCTGCCGAAATTGGAGCGTCACAGGGTCAAAGTCCAATGCGGCACAGGGCAGAATTTTTACGACGATTTTCTGAGACTCAGTCTGACGGAGCAATTGAAAAACTTTTTTGTTTCAGCGGTGACCCTACCATTTTTATGGCCTTCTATTGAAACGGACATGAAATTGCATTTCCACTGACGTGCGAAGAGTAAAGTGTCGTTGATACCTGTATTCACCCTCAAGAGAGGAGCGGATTAAACATGGATCTTGCTTACTGTGTTTAGAACAGATTTGACTCGCTGGTTTGCTAGTAGAATCTATACATGCCTGGATGTATGAGGCTACAATGTCACAGTGTGAAATTTCAAAAGCTAAATTTGCTTGAAGAAGGTTTATGCTCCTTAAATCGTATAATTTCTATGGCATTTCTGTACTGTCAGTGTGTTAATATGCCACTGCCAGTGGCCACTGCCAGTTGCATGTGGTGGTGATAGTATGGTGTAGTTTTTGCCTGCGTTAATTTAGGTACAGGTGCGCAGCCTCTCTATTGGCAGCCTGTAGGAGGCGGTTAAAACATTGATTTGTTTCTCAACTGCGTTTGGCGAGTACCTGTTGGTTGTGGAACGCTCCCATTTTACAGTGAAATTCCACACATAACTCTTACTTGAACAATGCTTACTTAGGAGATAATTGAGATGAGTTATATATGGAGATTCTGTAGTGTACATTAGAATAGTTGAATAGTCAACTAGCACTCAAATATTACCCAGGACGTGAGGCTGTGGATTTCCCAGACTTAATTTTCTCATCAAATTTTGCCACCATATAGACGCAAATGTGTACGTTCTTGAGCTTATTCGGCTCACTAATCACTGGCCTACCTTGTTTTGTTTTGTTTTAATAGGGTTAGGGTCACAATGCACCATAAACACTTAGTTTCAGGCACGCGATTTGTATCAACCAATGGCAATGGGATTTGGGAGTTATGCAGAATGCAGAAGGTTGCTCGAAATGATGTGTACGCAACTATCTGCATATCTGCGCCTAACAAAGGTGTCACTACGCACAACTTAAATGTTACGTTTATAACCGTAGCAACAGACATCAGATGAGCCCAGACGCTCTGCGGCTCTTGTTATTATTATTATTATTAACAGTAGTATTACTTGTAGCAGTAGCAGTAACAATTATTATTGCCGGGGTCGTTCACTTTAATTCTCATTATTATTATTATTACGACCACTACTCAAGATACTGGTTACAGCATGTATTCTCAAGGTATATGTGCAATTTTCTACGATTCCATATGCCTGAAGATTTCATGTTTGTCAAAACCTGGTCAATCTATGCAGGCTTAGCCTACTTTTTCAAGTTTATGTGGCTGACTACATATATGTGGTCATTATAAAGCATGCAGTAAATTGCCATTAAAGAATTCAGCCCGTGAAATGTTGAGTTGGATATCTGCAAACGAGGTAATCAACCAAATCTTGTCTATCGAAACCGTCTACGACACCCGCGCACACCTCTTACCTTCCAGTATGCTCAAACTGCCGTGCAAATGCATGCTCCACGTCACCCATAGCATGGCCAACATCGGAATGATGCGAAGTGTGCAGTGACGTAGCGCTACATAGGCTGGAGCAATCCTGCAAACATATCCAAGTAAATCATTTGAAGTGCGTAAAACGCGAATTCACACGTACATGTGGAGACAAAGGGGGCTGCACTTTTGACAACTTTGACACCCTGCACATTATTTCATAAATTTTTACAAAATTTACAAATTTATAAAGAATTTCTATTTCGCATAACCTGGCCAACCCTTTGATATCATGACAGTTGCTGGGTAATTCATATACTTGTACAACTTCAATAACCTGTCGTAGAAAATCCATCATGTACATATTTTTCTAAATCAGCCGATAAAACTTAGGAAGTGGCAGTGCCGTACGCACCGGCGGTTTGTCACTAGATGTCCGCCCCAGAAAGATCCGGCAATCGAGGCTGTCATTCCCAGAATTCCACACCAAAACGTCACTCGCGACGACGACATTCCACTGTCTACTAGAAAGAGGGGCATCAGTGATATTGCTCCCTGCTCCCCTAAACATAAGATATAGCTTATTACTGACATTTACAGATACAAAACAATGCTAATGTCTGTACCAAGGGGTTGTCAAGAGAAGTGTTCCCTCAGGGTTAATCAGAAATTTTAAAAGCACCAAGGCAAACGTTCTTGGCACCAGATAGATCAGCTATGGCAATTGATTTCCGTGAATATTAGCCAAATTTTCGAGGTACTACAGAAAATAAGGAGGGCAACTATGGGACTTTAATCGTCGTCGATGCGACGTTAATATTTGAGCTTCATGTACCGCGTATCATACACACATAATAAACACGTACCTAGTTTATACGTCAATACAAATGTGGCCACCCACAGAGTGCCATCTGTGTGAAGTAGACTTCTGTACAGACTTTCCCAGGATTCTTTTCCAGGAGCCCTTTGACAAGCATCGGCAATCTCCGATTGATCGCCATGGAAACTCTGTTCCGAACTCTTCGGGGAGGCCACACCCGACGTTCCCGCATCAACATTCTTCGGCTCGAACGCCGACAGGAGTGCGTAACTGACGGCGTAGATAGCGGATAACATCAGGAACATTCGTGTCCATCCCACCCTCGCCTCGACAACCCCCAGCAGGCCGGCGGCCGCCGCGCCCACCTTGTATCCGACGACCTGCGCCGTGTTTCCGGCGCCAAGCTCACTGGCCGAGAGCGTCTGCATCGCGACACCGTCGACGGCAACGTCCTGCGTCGCCGAGAACACGTTCAGCGCAAAGATGAGCGCGGCGAACGACGAGTCGCCGGGGTCGGTCGCCGCCAGAGCGCAGCACGCGACGCACATCGCCGCGACGGACGCTCGAAGCCACCGCATCTTTGTGCCGTAGCGGTCGACGAGCGGCGCCCATGTGCCCTTGAGAAACCATGGTGCGAGCAGTAGTTTGAACGCACTGACGTGCGCAAGCGAGCTGCCCTTCGTGCGGAGATAAATCGGCATGAACCCTGCCTGCAGGCCATAGGGCAGACCCTGTATGAAGTATAGTCCAAACAGCACCACGATACTGCTTTCCATCTCGCTAGGATAGGATGCAAGCTTGCTGTGAAATCACGAAGAAGTTTGAATCCTTTGGTAATTTAAGCTTGTTCCGATTCACACACAAAAATGCTCATGTAGAGCCACATATCTTATTAATAAGGTGTATTTTGTGAGAGTTTCCGCACGTTCAGATGTTGATTTGTTCATCCTGAACAAATCCTTTCATCCTTTTTTTGCAAAAACAAGTGATACGACGGTGCTCCCGCTGCTTCCCCCAAACTGAAACGATGGTGTGTGAATTTCCTTGTGCAGAGTCAGCTCTATAAAGTAATAATTATAAAAAATAATATCTATCACAAAGAGTAAAATACCAGCACACATCACATCATACATCAATGATCGCACTGTTAGTACAGCTGACCGATCAATATAATTAACTATTTGAATATAATGTAATAACAAAAACAAGATATGATATAATAATAATAACATGATTAATCACATTTTTACGCAATCACCAGTATGATGACTGCATGAAATTTTGCATAATGTGTTTAGTTTTACTGAGTAGCATTAACCCACCAGGCTGAAAATGTGTTAGAAGTTCCTCCTTGGTCCAATTACACGACGTGATAACAAACAAGCCTCTCTCGGTGAGCAGTCGGAGTACAACTCTCTTGAACAAGAGCCTCTTTAGCCGTGGTTCGTCGGGGCATAAACTCATCGCATCATAGGTCCCCTTGTCTATACACACGTTGTACTGTCTCTGGAGGCTTGCACTTACCACAGGGTCACACAATATGTCTGCAACCTATTATATACATAAGTGTAAGTTTAGTACTTTAATTAGAATTAGAATGGCTTAGACATTAAGAGCGATTATCCCTCTTTAGCTAAGATTTGTGTGGCAGACTATAAATGGTTGAACTAATAATAATAATAATAATAGTAGTGTTCTACAATGCATTTTATGACTAAACATATTTCAATCAAATAGACTCAAAACAAAAAATGGATTCATTGAGATGCATAGCTCACCTCAAATTTAATTGAAGTCTGATGTTCTTGCTTGGCTATATTCCGTGCTAACTCCACCGCACCCTCTGAATAGTCAATGCCAGTCAAATCATCGTAACCTCTTTTGGACTGATGAAAATAGAACACAAAATTCATTGGTATGATCGCCTTATTAGAACAAGAAACCAGGATAAACTACAGTCAGATCTCATGCAACAGTGGTATTTGGTGCCATTGAAACCATCGCAAAACAAAATTGTTGTAAACCAAATATAGGCATTATATGTTAAAAGTTCATTGCTTTTCTCTGTTACATCATTGTTTTAAATTGTATCGAATAAATATTAATTAAATGCAATCATTCTATCCTTACCAATTCGAGTAGTAATATTCCATTGCCAGAACCAAGATCAATGATGGAGGGTTGTTCGATAGCTATACAGTTTTCTTCAATCCAGTCCAACACTCTTTCCATACTACCTTCACCATACCTATGATGCAAACGATATAAATACTAGTTACTGTAAATTAAACCACCATAATCGATTAAAAAATGCACTTGATAAAAAGATCTATAGACTCTGGCTGATTTACACATGTCAAAAACACAGACGTGCAAATACCTATCAATGGGAAGCAATGTTAAAATTAGAAATGAGCAATTTATATAGAAGTTGCCGGTTCAGGAATCTGTAGCTTTGTAACAGCATTTAGATGAACAGGAGCCGCAGAGCGTACGTCTGGGCTCATCTGAGGTCTGTTGCTACGGTTATATACGTAACATTTAAGTCGTGCGTAGTGACACCTTTGTTAGGCGCAGATATGCAGATACGCAGTTGCGTACACATTATTTCAGCAACCTTCTGCATTCTGTATACCTGATCCCAAATCCCATTGGTTGATACAAATCGCATGCTTGAAACTCCTGTTTTATGGTGCATTGTGACCCTAACCCTATTAAAAAAAGATTTAATTGTAAAAATTATTTGTTCTTATTAAATTGTTGTAAATAAATAATGTAAATATTTGCTTAAATTGGAAAAAAATAGTTCAATGGATAAAGATAGAAAAATACAGAAAACAGGTAAATAATAAAAAATCTGATGGGATTCGATCCAAGGACCTTTAAGCTATAATCCTGTGCTGTACCAGTTGGGCTATCCAGACATATTGGCTTTCTAGATTATGGATGTGCCATGAATATCAGAACACTGTGACATCATTGAGGCAGTTCAGGAATCCATGTTTAACCCGCCTCCTCTTGAGGGTCAAAAGGTTATCAGACACTTACTCTTCACATGTCAGCAGAAAGTACATTTCATGGTCCTTTCAATAAAGCCATAAAAATGGTAGGTCACCGCTGAAACAAAAAAGTTTTTCAATCGCTCCGTCAGACCACAGGCTTTCATTTTTAAGGGGCGCGATCGCGCTCGCGCTCCACCGCGCACCATAAATTGCGCGTTGGTGCGCGCATCATCGCGCCTCATAAAAGTGGTTGAAATCGCGCACCAAAAGTCTGTGTATTATGTTGAAATAGTGCTCCATTTTACCGGGATGAGAATCTTCCGCGGATCCGCGGATTTCACAGTCCCAGGGTCGATTTTGTGAAACGTCTAAATCCGTTGAGAGAAAATTTTAGGGGGGTTAGAATGTACAAATTTTCATTTTACAGTCCAACAGCCTACTAACAGTACCTTCATTTAATACCATTGTAATATAGTTTGCTTTACAATATAGACACGGCTTAGTTCACTGTTTGAGATTGTCAGACGTTAGCCACAATAGCCAGTGTGTGCGTTTATTTGACGCTGCAAGTGTGTGTGGTTGTGTATGCCGCGCGTGCTATGCAGGCCGTGTATATAGTACGCGATCGATCGATCGTGTACATCAAAAGCCGCCGCGTCACGCGTGGCCTTGAGGCTAGTTTTCCCTGCCCATAGAGTTGCAATGAATCGCGAGCCCTGACTGGAGTATCTATTCTAGCCCAACTCTTGTTTCAGTAGCCAATGAGAATGCAGCTTTCATACACCCTTCGTCGTATCTTAAAACAATGGCAGACCTTTTAAGGGTGTGATTTTTAGTGGAGCTCTCCATCATGCCTCTTAAGGGTGTGATTTTTTAATGGAGCTCTACATCATGCCTCTTAAGGGTGTGATTATGGAGCGTGAAAAGTCCCCCTATGGTGTTCTAGGGGCGTCATTAGTAGTCCTCCTGTACTTTTCAAATCTGAAAGCCTGAGACCATGTCCTCAGAAAATGTCTAAAATCTGCACTGTGCCACATTGACCTTTGACCTCCAATTTCGGCACAGTGATGACTTTTCCTACCATTATGCTATACACCGACTATCACGAGCCTAGGTCGAGCCGTTTAGATTTGTGCTGCAATTCTGCATTTCCTCCCTATACCTTAAGTTAAGGAAGGAATGTTCCCCCTTTTTTTACACCTCTTGACCTTTGACCTTTGACCCCCAGCTTCGACATCCCAACTCGTTTTCAGATTACCCCCCTACGTCCCGAATATCGTGACCGTACGTCGAGCGGTTAAGATTTGTGCCCAACTGTTGATGGACGCACGGACGCACGCACGCACGCACGCTCATGCGATTCTACAAGCTGCATCTGACTATGTCAGATAAGCTAAAAATACCACGGACAAGAACTTGTGACTACCGTGCCTTGTGACTGCAACTTACCATACATCACCAGTGTCACCAAAATCCTTGAAATTTATTGATTCCCTGTTGTAGACATTATCCCAGCTGAAAATACAAAATAACAGCACTAAACCTACAAAACTGTTATCACCATGTCATAACATCATAAGCATGTAGGTATAATATAATCCTCATAATTATAAAGTGAAATCAATATTAGAAATACAACTTCTTTTACAGTTTAGGAAGTAAGTAAGAACGGTAGCACGAAGTGACGACACTAATGTGTGAGGACACAGAAAATACAGAATGGGGTTGGACATTCATTAGTAAGATGGGGAAATATTGTGGCTGAAACTATACCTGATCGAAGCTGCACACTACACATGTACAACCACAAATATGACCCACCCTAAGAGGGACGTGTTGATACAGAGCTTGGGCAGAAAGTTCAAACCAAGACCAGAGAAGTGAATTGTCTCAAGTGTAAACACCTTGGCCATATATGAAAGAACACCCAAAACACTCTGGTAGTGACCACCCTCACTATCGCTCATAGGGTCTATGTCCCCCAGGGTACTGCCGGAACATACCCTGGGTACGGTCCGGTATACAAGAACGTACCCTGGTAACTATCTGATATGGTTAGGGTTAGGGTTAGGGAGTAGGCGTAGGCGACTCCCTAGACTCGTTAGGCCAAACAAAAAAATACCTTTGGTTCGGGTCACATGGATTGTGAAATCGGGGTAGGTAGGTCGGTATAACTTTTTTCTTTTTTTTAAATTTTTTTCCTGCAAGAACATGGGTAGGCAGGAATATAATTTTTTTTCCACAAGTTAAATATAGGGTATACAGCTTGAAATGCAGGAGCCACGAGATGCAAATGACTTGCAGTTGCATGTACCATTGCTGCAAGTCATGACATTGTTTTCAAAATGTGAACACCTGGATAGTAGTGTTAGGAATCGCTCCAAAAACGGAGCTCGATTAATCGTCCCTTTGAACGAGCGAGTAACCGAAGTGTAAACGGCTCTGCGGCCGCGTATAGCATGATAGCATGCGTATACTATATAGTATGCAATCAATCGCGTACATCAAAGCCGGCCGCCGCGCCATACGACCTTCAGGCTCTGTTTATGAAGTAGCCGGCCCAGGCTCTATACGACTGTTTCACGTTGCAGGAAACGTAGGTACGCACTGTTTCACTTCTCGCCAACGAAGTTCTGTTTATAAATATTTTGGAACTCTCTTTAGGTAAATAAAATGACAAGAGTTGGATATTTGAATATGTATGATCGGCAGGCAGTATCTTTGAATTTTATTTTTTCTTGAAACCCTCTAAAAGTGACCGCAGTCGCACATTTTTCACTCCGAAATGTGAAGTCGGGCGGGTGAACCGAACCAAAGGTAATTTTTTGGTCGGCCTTAGTGGAGTATGCGAGGTACGGTAGGAAGTGTACATGCACTGTCTGTGGACAGAGGCTATAGTACTGTTGGGGTAGAAAGGAGTGGAACTTCCAGGATGGTTTTCTCAAGATTCGGCCTTGGTGAGTATGTTTAGTGCCTACTTTTTTTCTGTCACTGTCAGCAAATACTATAGACTATAGTATATCGACGAGGATATTCGTCCGAGCATCGGCCACCTGTTCGTATGCGCTATTCGTCCGAGCAGTTGTTGCTCATGCGCTGTTCATGTTGCATGCCGCAGGGGCACGGCACGAGTGCCGGAGGTAGGAAGTGTAAAAGGGGGTCTCCCCCCAGCCAATTTTTAAATCTAGACGCTCTAAAATGCTATTTACCCTTTAGATTTATGATTTTTTTGCCCTTTAGGCTGGGGGCCCGTAGCGTTTTGCTACGGCAGCCCTACAGCTGTGACGCCCCTGCATACATGCGTTGAGTATGTGGTTATACACCATAGATAGTGTTTGGTACTATCACTCGCATATATAAGAGTACCGAGTCAGTTTACAGTTAGTGTTAGGGTTGGGGTTAGGATTAGGGTTAGGGTTAGAGAGTAGGCGCCTCCCTAGACTAGCATTATATTACATTTATGTAATACAACATGAACACGCATGCGCAACAACTGCTCGGACAAATAGCGCATACGAGCAGGTGTCCGATGTTCGGACAATTATCCACGTCCATAGTATATAGCTCTAGTAACGCTGATAGGGTCTATGTCCCCCAGGGTACTGCAGGGCACTGGGGTAGGTATACCGGAACAGACCCTGGTACTAAATACTACTATCTAATATGCCGGACCGTACCTCGCGTACTCCTCTAACGAGTCTAGGGAGTCGCCTACGCCTACTCCCTAACCCTAATGCTAGCTGCACACTATCCGATTTTGCACTGTGCACAGCCCTGTGCCCCCGCATACTATACGACCCGCTCCCGATCGATCGGGAGGCCCCCGCACACTGTCCGACTCAAAGTTGGCGCAAACCATGGCACGCTCGTGGCGTTCCAAACGGATTTAGCGTGTACTAAGGGTCGGGAGTGTTTTCCCGCCATTTTTACCAAATGCGGTTCCCATGGCGCTGCTCTGTGATTGGTCAATTTTTTTCAGCGCTCGCCGATCAGGTCGGATGACGACGCACACTATCCGAGTCGCGTCGTAAGCCCTCGCACACTATCCGCTCCCGATTCAAAATTCGAATCGGGCCAAAATGACCTCCCGAGCCAAACTTAAGCCTCTCGAGCCAAACTTAAGCCTCCCGATCCAATCGTAAGCCTCCTGATCGCGCTCGAGTCGGATAGTGTGCGACTAGCATAACCCTAACCATATCAGCTAGATATAGTTACCAGGGTACGTTCCGGCAGCACCCTGGGGGACATAGACCCTATGAGCTCTAAGCCGCGTTCAAACGGTCATGGTTTGGCTCGAGCCAAATGGCCTAAATTTGGCTCGGGCCGGTTTGAGTCGGAGCGTTCACACGTGCGCAAGTGAATACTGTCTGTCAAATTCAAATTCAAATTCAAATAAATTTTATTGCACAAATATCTCACAGATACTTTGGCAGTATGTCGCGAGATAGCGTTGTGTACGATTCAGAGTGTTTACCATAGGCACTTAAAGCGTTTCAATAAAATATATACGCAGGGGTCGTGTGGTGTGCACGGCGACAGTTA